TACTTATATCTACTATACTAATAAGAGCCCAAGAAAGTTAAGCCTATAATGGGTAGAAAAAATGGCGATCAAATTTTTTAATCAAATGAAGGGCTCAGATTGATCAGATTTTAATTTTTCATTAAGATTTCCTAAATGATCTTTAATGAATATGATTATCCGTTAACTTTTTCGTTAATTTATGTTAGTTCACCGTTAACTTACTCATTGATTTCAATAAGAAATGTCTTAGTTTTGAATCTCATCTCAATCAAAGTTGGCATAATTAGTACTCTATTTCACTCTTATTAAATTAACAAATAATATTTTAGTAGCTACAACAAAAAAAATACATATGCATTTCTTTAATTTAGAATTATGTGTCTACAAATGTCTTTATTCAAAAAAAAAATTATTCATTATCAATAACTTAAATAAGAGAAATAATTTCATTAGTTATATTGTATTTATTTTTCTCCAGTATAAAAATTCTTTACATTCAAATTCATCAATTGATTATAACATTGACCCTACAATGTCTTTATTAAAAAAAAATTATTCATTATCAATAAATTAATTAACAGAAATAATTTTATTAGTTATATTGTCTTTATATTTCTCCAATGTAAAAATTCTTTACATTGAAATTCATCAATTGATTATATTCACTACATTGTCTATTATCTTTTTTTGTGCACTATTTTTAATTAAATATCAAAATTATAATACAAAATAATGCTATATATTTATTTACCAAATATTTTATTAATACCATGAAAAAATTAAAAAATATATATAATTAATAAAGCCAATCATATTAACTACTTGAGGAATTTGTTGAGAAAGAGAGTATCCAAATCACACAACAAATCGAAGTGAGAACTATATCGCAATGTCCTTGTTTGACAATCAGCAGTTAGCGGTTACCGTTAGCGGATTATATTAGCGATTTTAACCAGCGAATTATATCAACGGTTGGTAAAAAGATATTTGAAAAAATTAGCTGTTTTGATTAACATGTAAAATGACCTAAGGGTATAATAATAATAATAATAATAATAATAATAATAATAATAATAATAATAATAATAATAATAATAATAATAATAATAATAATAATAATAATAATAATAATAATAATAATAATAATAATAATAATAATAATAATAATAATAATAATAATAATAATAATTGTTTAAAAAAATAAAATTAAGCCAATCATATTAACTACTTGGGAGATTTATTGACAAAAAGAGTATTTAAATCACACAACAAATTACCAGGACTATGTGGTCTAATGGTATCCGGGTTGGACTTCCATTTGGAAGATTATGAGTTCAAGCCTCAGTGGAGGCGTTATTGGTTCTTTGTGTTTCAGTAGGTTGAGAAAGTATATGAACAGATACTACAATGTAATAGAGCCAGTAACTTTCAAAAAAAAAAAATAAATCACACAACAAATTGAAGTGGGAAACTATCTCGCAATGTCCATGTTTAGCAGTTAGCTCTTCAATATTAGTATATATTTAATATTTTATGCCCTAATTTTTATTTGCTCTCCCTTATGCCCCGTATTTGGTTTCAACCATACCTATACAATTATTTTATTGACAATTATAATCAATCTTGACTATATTATCTTGCATTTGTAAACTTAGAATTGCCTATTTAAATACGCAAATTTAACATTCAATTATCTATGCATGAACAATTCCAATATAATCTTGCCTTGATATACTTTAAAGTACTTATTTTTAAAAAAATTAAAAAAATATTGGGCATTATCTCAATCGCGCAATGCGCGTAAAAAACTAGTAGTATTAATAAACATAAAAAAGGAATCATAAGAAATTCATAACAATATTGAACACAAAATTTTATAGTAATAGACTTGTTCAAATAAAATATTTAAAAATATAATTACTAGTAGTATAAAATAAAACATTAAAAATATAATATTAATAATATATATAAAAAATTATACTTGATATACTGCTAGGCATCAAACAAAGAGCTATATTATTTGCAATAGCAATTCAGGATTGCTAACAACAATAGGATGCTACAGTTTGCAGCCTCAAATTGTTGTTGCAAATAGTAGTTCGCTATTCGAGTATTCGTAGAAGCCTATATATATATATATATATATATATATATATATATATATATATATATATATATATATATATATATATATACTAGTTTTTTTACGCGCATTGCGCGATTGGGATAATGCCCAATGTTTTTTTTTTTTTTTTAAATAACTACTTTAAAGTATATCAAAGCAAGATTATATTGGAATTGTTCATGCATAGATAATTGAATGTTGAATTTGCGTATTTCAATAGGTAATTCTAAGATTACAAATGCAAGATAATATAATCAAGATTGATTATAATTGTCAATAAAATAATTGTATAGGTATGGTTGAAACCAAATACAGGACATAAGGGAGAGAAAATATAAATTAAGGCATAAAATATTAAATATATACTAATATTGAAGAGCTAACTGCTGATTGCCAAACAAGGACATTGCGAGGTAGTTTCCCACTTCAATTTATTGTGTGATTTGAATACTATTTTTGTCAATAAATCCCCCAAGTAGTTAATATGATTGGCTTAATTATATTTTTTTAAAACAAATATTATTATTATTATTATTATTATTATTATTATTATTATTATTATTATTATTATTATTATTATTATTATTATTATTATTATTAAATATATGTATACCTGATGCGTAGTATATTTGCAAACAAATAATACTCGGAGTACGAGTTATCGATCCACAATGAAGTGGTTGTATCAAGCACTAGTTACTAATTTATTCATTAGAGCTAATCCTAACAATTACTTTAGATGATTGATTTACATAAAATAAAACAGAGATCCAGGATTTTGAAAACAATTAAAGAGAAGATGAGATTCCTGGGATTCAAGTATTTAATCACCTAGTGCCAAATCTTAAGGACCATATTAAAATCTGGGTTTAACAAGTGTGAGGATGCAAAGTGGTATAGAGCTACTCTCGTAGTCACTAACACTAGTGAATTTCCACTCTCGTGGCTTAAACACCCAATAAAACAAGATAAAGCATCATAAATCCCTAACTACTACCATCTCTCGATGCCCAATAATCAAGAATTAAATCCCCCTAATAAATTCTCCTTTCTCAAGGTCCAACCATTAGGTGCAATTGTGTGTGCCCTAAATTATGTCTCAGCTCTTGTTGGTGACACAAACAAAGCAAACGAAACAAGTAATTGTGGCCACTAATTACAAGCATCAAACAATAAAATCACAATCGCAACACAAGTTAACCCAAATAATAATAATATATTAAAGAAACTGAGAGCTCAGACACATTGGTTCATAAACACTTTTACCCAAGAATCTCTAAAGAATTTAGCCAAACATGACTAAATTATACATAGCAAATATAAATAAAGAATTACAAATCATCAAAAGAGTACAAGAATTAACCAGACGATTTTTTCAAATCTCCCTAGTCTTCTTGCTTCCCAAGACAACTTGTGGCTCTTGATTTCTCTCATTGTCTCCAAGAATCTCTAAATTCTAAACTATGAATTGTAAATTATCTACTTTAAACTATTCTATTCTAAAACTTGTCTATTCTAAAACTTGTCTATTCTAATTATTTTCTCTTAGGGTTGAGGAATGTGGGATTTTATAGTAGGTACAAAGTTGGGGCGGAATTGAAATTTTCCTAAATTTAATTTGGAAGTTTAGCTTTGGAATGATTAGGCAATTATTGTAGCCATCTTACTTTGGAATATTGCCATTTTAAATTAGGAAGTTTCTAAAAATCGCGCCTAGTGCAATAGGTATGGTTTGAAAGCTTATTTTGACCCTTCTCTCTTATTATCTAGACTTTGATGTCTTCATAAGATTTGTAGCCCTTCAAGTCTTCTTTCCAATGGCGCAAGAATCACCTCAATCGGACATTCTTAGCATGAGATATGATCAAAATACTAAACTGTCGCCAATCTGTGTGAGATGAAATGTTACTGGAAATTTTCGACGCGTCATGTTTTCTTCTGAGTCATAGGTTGTAGCCCTTCGAGTCTTCTTTCCAATGGCGCAAGAATCACCTGAATCGGACATTCGTAGCATGAGATATGATCAAAATACTAAGATGTCGCCGAATTCAACGGGAATTACAACTTTTCGGTCTTTTGATCCACTTTTCCCTTGTTTGATTCTTGTGATCAAATCCATTGAAAGTACCATTCTTTGGCTCTCTTTGAAGCATTTTAGCCACCTCCTTAGCTTCACCTTCTTTGTTTTGGCTCCAAACTCGTCTTAGAACTTCCCTTGCTTTTAACTTTGACCTAAAATGGTTCAAAAACACTAACAAACACCGTAAAACAAGTGTGAACCATAAATGATAATAGCAAGGAAAACATGTATTAAATAAGCAAAATTAAAGAACTTAATTACTGAGATGATTCAAAATAACTATAAAAACAAGCACAAATGTGATAACATCAATACCCTTAGGTCATTTTAAATGTTAATCTAAACAACTAATTTTTTCAAATATCTTTTTACCAACCGTTGATATAATTCGCTGGTCAAATCCGCTAATATAATCCGCTAACGCTAACTGTTGATTGTCAAACAAGGACATTGCGAGATAGTTCTCACTTTGATTTTTTGTGTGATTTGAATACTCTCTTTGTCAACAAATCCCTCAAGAAGTTAATATGATTGACTTTATTAATTATATTTTTTTTTAATTTTTTCTTGGTATTAATACTTGATAAATAAATATATAGCATTATTTTGTATTATAACTTTGATATTTAATTAAAAAAAATAGTGCACAGAAAAAGATATTACACAATGTAGTTAATATAATCAATTAATGAATTTGAATGTAAAGAATTTTTACATTGGAGAAAAATAATGACAATATAACTAATAAAATTATTTTTCTTAATTAATTTATTGATAATGAATAATTTTATTTTATTTTTTGAAGAAAGTAGCTTAATTCATTGAATCAAAAGCAAGTACAGCAACAAGAAAATGAGGTGCTGTATCATACCACTCCCCGCAACCAGACGTGGAACGCGCCTCCCGAATTAACGCATGGGTTGCACGGTTCGCGGGTTGCTTAGCAAATTTAAAGTTAACCCCGTTTATCGAGGTGGCAACTTCTTTTACATCATCAACTAAATAACCAAAAGCAGAAAAAAAAAAAAGAGTTTGATTGCAAAGCATGAAAACATAACTGTAAGTCCATCTCGACATCGACCTTCCCCATTCCAATATTCTTCAGCCAGCTTAGAGCCTCCCGAATACACAGCATCTCAGTCTCCACCACGGTAAACTGGCCTGACATACGCCTGTTCAATGCCGCCAAGAAACACCCATGCTCATCACGCAGAATCCACCCCAGACCCATCACATTATGCTCACTATCAAGCGCCGCATCTGTGTTTAGCTTCAATCTACCACCGTCCGACGGTTCCGATCTGGCTGAACGTCCTTGCTCAGGTCCATCATTCACAGCACCAGTTTGCAGCAATTTCCAATTAGACCAGAATGTCACAGCCGACTGCTCCACCTCACTCATGACAGCCGGCACCCCCCTCCAAACTCTTTCATTCCTACTATTCCACAACCCCCAACACAGCATAACATGTTAGATAATAATATTAAGGCTAACATAAACTGTAGTAAATGAGTAACCTGCCTCGTTACCGCGGAAGCTTTAGGATCGCCCGAATATCCCCAGCCATAGTCGTTAGTATTGCCACGAGATGATAAACCTGCAGAATAAAAGTTAGTGTTTTGTCAACCACTTCTCTCCCGAATACTTGATGGTGCGTGTATTCTGAACCCAAGAGCTGTGGGAGGACTCATTATGCTTAGAAGCCTACATACCATCAATGTAGGCAGATATTCAGTTAATCCTAAACTGAATATCCTGAGTTACTTAACAGACTAAATCACTATCTGACTTAATATTCCTCTTGCACCACAACCACTTAATTAATACAATATATTATAATATATTATATTAGGAAAAATACTTACATAACAAACTTACACAACAACTCCCCTTTTAGCGTACATAATAGCTCGAAAAGCCAATCTGTAATGCTACCTTGGTTATGGCGAGTTGATGGCAGTTTGAAATTGGTCCACATTGCAGCAACATGAACGCAGTCTCTGAACAAGTGCGCTTTAATAATTTTTTTTTTTTAAAATAAAGACATTGTAGGGATAATGTAGCGAATATAATCGAATTTGAATGTAAAAAATTTTTATATTGAAAAAAATAAAGATAATATAACTAATGAAATTATTTATCTTATTTAATTTATTGATAATGAATATTTTTTTTGAAGTGGGATATAGTTTTTCACTTCAATTTTTTGTGTGATTTGAATACTCTTTTTGTCAATAAATCCCCCAAGTAGTTAATATGATTGACTTAATTATATTTTTTTTTTAAAAACAATTATTATTATTATTATTATTATTATTATTATTATTATTATTATTATTATTATTATTATTATTATTATTATTATTATTATTATTATTATTATTATTATTATTATGTATACCCTTAGGTCATTTTACATGTTAATCTAAACAGCTAATTTTATCAAATATCTTTTTATCAACCATTGATATAATTCGCTGGTCAAATTCACTAACATAATCCGCTAACGCTAACCGCTAACGCTAACCGCTAACTGCTGATTGTCAAACAAGGACATTGCGAGGTAGTTCTCACTTTAATTTGTTGTGTGATTTGAATACTCTCTTTGTCAACAAATTTCTCAAGTAGTTAATATGATTGACTCTATTAATTATATTTTTTTAAATTTTTTCATGGTATTAATAAAATACTTGGTAAATAAATATATAGCATTATTTTGTATTATAATTTTGATATTTAATTTAAAAATAGTGCACAAAAAAGATAATAGACAATGTAATGAATATAATCAATTGATGAATTTGAATGTAAAGAATTTTTACATTGGAGAAATATAATGACAATATAACTAAAAAAATTATTTCTCTTAATTAATTTATTGATAATGAATAAATATTTTTAATAAAGACATTGTAAGGACAATGTAATGAATATAATCAATTGATGAATTTGAATGTATAGAATTTTTATATTGGAGAAAAATAAATACAATAAAGACATTGTAGACACATAATTCTAAATTAAAGGAATGTATATGTATTATTTTTGGTTAAAGTACCTATGAAGTCCCTGTACTATACTGTTTTGTTCAATTTAGTCCTTGTACCTTTATTCTGTTCAATTTAGTCCCTCTACTTTAAAAAGTGGTGAAACTAAGGACAATTGTCCAAATCTCATTAGGAACATGGTTGTAATGATTTATTTTGGACATATTAATTTAATATATTGGTGGTAAAAATAATTAATTTTAAATATTTATAAAGTAATATATGAGTAGGAATATAAATATCGTCACCACCACGTAATCTAAGTTAACGATAATATTAACACCGTTAACTATTGTCCTCAATTGCACCACTTTTGAAAGTACAAGGACTAACTTGAACAAAATAAAGGTATAAGGACTAAATTGAACAAAACGTTATAGTACAGGGACCTCGTGGGTACTTTAACCATTATTTTTTGTTGTAGCTACTAAATTAGTATTTAATTTAATAAGAGTAAAATAGAGTACTAATTATGCCAACTTTGATTGGGATGGGGTTCGAACCTAAGATTTCTTATTGAAATCAATGAGTAAGTTAATGGTGAACTAACAGAAATTAACGGAAAACATAATATTTAACGGAAAATTTAACACATAATCATATTCATTAAGGATAAATTAGGAAATTTTAAGGAAAAATTAAAATCTGATCAATCTGAGCCATTCATTTAATTAAAAAATTTGACCGCCATTTTTTCTACATATTATAGGCCTAACTCTCTTGGGCTTTTATTAGTATAGTAGATATATATATATATATATATATATATATATATATATATATATATATATATATATATATATATATATATATATATATATATATATATATATATATATATATATATAATAGATTTACATTCAGGTAAAAACACATCTTAAAATACAAATCTATGGACAATTTGACGCCGTTGGATGGTGGTATTGGACGGTCTTGATTGTTTCCTCCTATGCGCTGTGTGCATGTAAGTATGTTAATGTGTGCACGAGCTTTGATGGATGGTTGTGATTTTTCCTCCTACGCGTTGTGTGCATGTAAGTATGTTAATGTGTGCACGTGTTAATCCCATAAATTGTTGACAGTACGCCCTGTGTGCATGTAAGTATGTTAATGTGTGCACGAGCTCAAGTTTGTATTTTAAGGGAGATTTTTATTTTAAGGGGGTTTGCATTTGAATGCAACCCTTTATATAATATATATATATATATATATATATATATATATATATATATATATATATATATATATATATATATATAAAGAATAAAAATTAAAATATACAAGTATTTATATAAATATTATAAAACATATAGTAAAAATAAAAAAAAATCAAAATATATAGTAATAATAAAAGTAAAAATAATATTATTTCGAATTTTTAGAGGAAGATTGTAAAGTTTAGGAGAGAGAAAAAATTGGTAGAGTTTAGGTATGAAGAACATATAGGATATTGAAGAAAAAATAATTTATTAAATTTAGGTATAAAGTTTATAAAGTTTAAATAGTGAAAAAAATAAAGTTTAAATAGAGAGAGAAAACCTTCCAAGTTGGTAAAAAGAAAATTTTGAAATCTTAGGGTTGAGAGTTGGATTTCAACTATTAATATTTGAGAAGGAAAAGTCTACAAAAGTCCTAAAATTAAAAAGTCTACACAAATTCATAACTTTTTGAATACCACATGACTTTTAAAGACTCTTAATCGAATACCACCCGACTTTTAAAGACTCTTTAAAAATCATGATTGAATACCGCCTGACTTTTAAAGACTCCCAAAAAAGTTTGAATTGAATGTCTCCAAACTTTAAAAGTTCATAAATGTCTTTAAAAGTTTATGAAAGTCATGATTGAATACACCTAGAGTATAAACTATTTGTAAGTATCAGTAATATTTGAAAATAAAATATAACATTTAGTTACACGTAAAATCTAATATAATGAGAGAAAATTTTGTTAGTAAATAGCAGTGTTGCAAAACTCGGCCGACTAGGCGCTAGGCGGCACCAAGCCTTGCCGTTTTTGGGTGTAGGCGGCCATTGCTCGGCCGGCGGCCACCTAGGCAGCCAACTCGGCCAAAATCGATCGTGTCGGCCAACTCGGTTGAGTCATCCGATTTTGACCAATTTCGTCCGATTTTGTCTGATGTCGTCTTTCATTAATTATTTATTTTAATATTATTATGATATTATGACTTATAAATTATCATTATTGCATTTATTTGGTTGTGTTATTTGGTTGAATGTTGAAAACAACCTCTTTAAAATTGTCAAACGGCAAGTCTACCACTATTTATTTTATTTTTTTGGGCGCCCGCCTAGCGCTGCCTAGATTCCGCCTAGGCGCTGCCTGGACGCCCGACTAACGCCTACTGCAACCATGGACTAAATAGTAATATTAATAATGGGATTCTCCATCACAATAGGATTCTCCATCATTATAAGAATATATGAGAGGAAATTATGTCAGTGAATTGATTTATTAATGACGGAATTTTTGTCACAAAAAGAACATTTTAGTAACGGTAAATATACTATCACTATATGCACACTAATGACAACATCATATCCCGTCACTATTTATTTTTATCTTAGAAGAAATAACGACAGGTCGTGACTTCATCTTCTACCAATTCTTCTGTTACTTCAAGAATTCTACCAAGTTTTGACGCATATACAATTTTTTAATACATTTTTACAATGAAATTTTGGAGAATTAATTTTTCAAAAAAAAAGTACATTTTGACTCATCAAAATCTTATTACAAATATTCCTAACAGAGCATAACTCATCCCATAAAGGATCCCTTATGCATTCCTAGTTTTAGCATACACAAAAGTAATCTAGAATGCATTAGGGATAATAACATGACCACAAGAAACCGATACAGATTGATCAGATTCATATTCAAAATTCAAATTAAAGTCAGAATTCCAAAAGAGCCACAACTTATCATTAACCCCAACAAATGCAGAGTCAAAGCCAAGTTGCAACATAAAGGAATCTAATCTATCAGTATCACAAAATGGTTCAAGACACAAAATAAAAGACCTATGTTTTCGGAGCAACAAATGCAATCTCTGAAAAGAACCTCGCAAGACAATCCCCTGCACATTCGAAACAATAAATCGCATTATCAAAAAGAGGGGGACTGAGAAGAGATTGGCATGCCAGAGGCCGCACTACTCCGCTCTTGTTGTACATGAGATGTAGTGTACTTGTCACCAAGGGGCACACGGGTGGTCCTAGGGGGCGAGCCATGGTCCACTAGCTCCCTATGACACCCTGCAGACTCAAAGGTAGCAACTCTACAAGCAATCAAAGACTCACTATCATCAGACGCCTCACAATAGAACCCTGCAACGTTGGAACGCTCTGACGCTGACCAAGTTCTCTGAGTTCGCCTAACCATCGGAACTAGCTCAGAGGGCTGAGCAACTGGAGAGTGAAAAGGACCTCCATCATTATGTGTTCGTGTCGGGGACTGAGCATCTTCCTGTGATTGAGCATGGGTCGGGCCCTGACAAAGTGCTAAAGGCCCCATGTGTGCCTGAGTATGTGTCTGAAGCTCCTCCTATGATTGATCCTGAGGTTCCTCATGTGATTGAGTCTGGGGATCCTGAGAAACCTCACCTTGACCAAGAACCAATGCCATGTGATCATCTAATACAACATCAAAGTCCTGTGTTGGCCCCTACAGCTAGCTCTGGCTCCTGAACACCTTGAATGTGAATTTATTTCATTACATGTGCTATATAAGAATGAACTAGGCCCATCTTTGTAGACATTTATGGGCTGTTTGGTTCACGGAATAGGCCTGGAATGACATAGCATTCCCAGTAATAGGCATATTCCTCTGTTTGGTAACCACTTGTATTCCTAGGAACATTATTTCCGGAAATGACCTATTCCCCTTGCAAGGGGAATAGAGATTCCTGGGAGGCCCCTGGTATTAGGCTATTCCTGAGCTCTCAGGAATAGCCTAAAGTTTCTATTTCCTATTTTACCCCCCACCACCACCACCACCGCCACTGCTGCCACCGCCACCGCCACCACCGTCGCCACCACCACCACCATTGCCGCCGCCGCCACCACTACCATCACCGCCACCATCACATATTTTTATAAGGGTATTTATGTCTTTTAAAACATATTTCATTTCGATTCCTTAAATCAACCAAACACTGTAATATAATTCCTAAAGTATATTCCTTCCGCGAACCAAATAATATAATACAATTCATATTATATTCCTTGCCTATTCCATTCCTTATGGAATAACATTCCTATTACCTCAAAATTTATTCTATGAATCAAACGTGCTGTAATAGTTTAGCTAGATTGCAACTCCACTTGCCAAAGAACTGTTATTGGGCTACTAAACATGCCCCGCATCTTCCCAAACTAATGACTCGTATGCCTCAAAGCCAAATAGTCTTGTCATTGTTAAAGTTAACGTACTCATAAGATAGTGTATCATTCTTCTCAATAAACACTATTACCATAGGAAACAACCTCAGAAACAGTATTGTTCTTGTACTGCATTACAGTTTTCATAACATAAATTGCTTGTGCCTACTAGAATACAATTTTTAAACTATTACCCTCATCCCATTAACTAGCTTGGTTGTTTGCAAACATCGTTCACTATAAGAAAATATATAAATACCAAGGAATCTAGCAACATATTATATTTATAGCTAAGTTAACAATGAAATAGCGAAAATTTGGCAAGAGACTAATTAATAGATAAATATTCACTACAAGAAAATATACTAAAATTAATTGATTTGTGTGTGCGTGTGTATTTATTTGGTTCATATAAGTCTAAAAGTGCTTGATAAATGATAATTTACTACAAATTAAAGCAAGGTAGATATTTACTTATATACCTAAAATACCAATGTAACCTAAGTCATTTGATAAATGATAATTAATAATATATATTCAAGAGATTAATATATGGAGTGATTGATTAGTTCTGTCAATTTTGAAATATTAAAAAGAATAAAGACCTAAACAACTACTGATTTTAGGAAAAAGAACTTTTCAGTCTCTGTTGTATTGTGATATTGATATATATATATATATATATATATATATATATAGTATATTATAATTTTAATATACAGTCAGATGAGCATGGAAAGGAGTATTTTAAGCATGATGAATATTAGAAACTAAGGTCTACATAAATCCGACACTTGAGAGCTTTGAACTCTCACAGGAAACCCCATGTACTTAGCAGGCACACGCCTTAACCACTCGGCCAAAGCATCTTTATGTTATAGTACTTGTGAAGAATAATACTTGTAAGATAATAACAAACAAAAATGACATTACAGCGCCTAAGAGATTCGAACTCTCGCGGGGAAACCCCATGTACTTAGCAGGCACACGCCTTAACCACTCGGCCAAAGCATCATTGCGTTGCTGCATTTGTGAAGAATAATTCTCAATATTTAGTAGATACAATATCATTTGATAGAGAAAATTTACTATGTAACCCAATTAAATGAAAGGATAACAGTGTAAAGTTTTTTTTTTTTTTTGTTTTTTTTTTTTTGTTTTTGAATACTATTAATCTATTACAATATAGTATTTGCTCATAACTATTTTCTCAACCTACTGAAGCACACAAAGTCAATAGCGCTTCCATTAAAGCTCAAACTCACAACTTATCATGTGGAAATTCAACTTGATACCATTAGACCACAAAGTTCTTGGGTAACAATGTAAAGATAAGAAGAATGCCTTCAAAGGATAAAATACTATTTGCAAAGATGGTCAAAAGGTTACATAAATTGTGTAGTAATAAGACAATCACACTGTTTGGTAAATGACTGTTAGCTGTTAGCTGATTGGGTTAATTAGATGGTATAACTAGTTGATAACAATAGCTGATTGTATAAAATTGTTTGGTAAATTAGCTGTTTGGTATAATTTCTTTTTCTCAAAAAGCTAATTGAAAAAGTTTCTTTGAACAGCTTTTTGAATTTTAGCATTTTGGAGTTACAAAAAGCTAAATAATCAAACACTTATATTGATTTTTTAACCAAGTCAAACAACTAATAGTGGCCAAATAAGCTAAAATTGGCGTGTAGGCTAAGTATTTGACCAAATAAAGCCAATATGTTTAAACAAGACAAAAGAATAATTATTTGTAGACCTCATTTACAAGAATGACTTGCATTAACCTAGGCGCCTCACGCAGGCAAGCAGTTGCAAGGGTCTTGACTGGCAGCGATTTTCTTCGACCCGACCTCCCCAACTCAAGTTGGCCTGCTTTTGTCGATCACGAGGCCGCGGTTGGATTCTTTCTTTTCCGTCACGGGTTGAGTCGGATCCGCTCAATATCCTATGTACTGAGTTCAATATATCCATCAAAATATTTATTTATTAAAAGAATTGATTCCGTGAGGTATATATATATAGACAACCTACAGTTGCTTGATGAGTATCTAAACATCTTTTAATTTATAAAATTTGAATGCATATACATTTCATCGTTCTTGTACGATATATCTATTCATAGTAATGAGATTGCAATAACTATATATTCTAATACCATAAATATATATTTGTCCACCATGATAATTGGTACCTAGATTTATTTTAATACTTATACTAGCATAAAATGAAATTGAATAACAAGTCCCATATATTAAATGTATATTATTAAATAAAACTGTACATTAATTAGAATGATACTTTGGTGGTGCAATAATGAAATTCAATGTGTATAAAATGAAAATTCAAAACTCAGACCGGATCCCTAGACGATCTGTAATATGTCGGCACGTATGTGATCGTGAGGCTCGAACGGTGATCCACGCCTTATCTGGTGAACTGGCACTGCATTCAATTCCGGCTCGATAAGCGGGGTTTGGAGTTGCTTTGACCGAATATTTTAGTTTGAACCCTTCCTCGCTGAACTAATGTCAGGGCTCGGACTAGGGGGGCTACTTGATAGGGAATATTCCCTGAATATACCTCCATCTACGTACCGTGCACCTACTTAGTACCCGTTCAGGTCACCGAGAGTAATCATTCTCGACCTTGATAGACCAATAGCTTGATATTCCTGACCTAAATGCAACGACCGAGCTGAATCATGGTTGCAGTAGTACTTCGTTGTTTTGGGACCAACCGCGTCCCGTTTAGGTCGGGACGGTCATCCCAAGCAGGGTTACTTGAGGATTTGGACCTAGGCTTCTAACTTTAACCTGACCACACCCCTTAGTGGACGGTCAGGAATATCAACACACGTGGCTATCATGGCGTTGTTCCTGAGCCCACCGACTACATGTATGACATGTGACAGTCATGCCGAGAGCCTTGCATGTGACTCCTTCCCAGCTCCTATAAATACCACATTAAATGCTTGTAGGAGGGACTTTTTGAGCATTTTCTCTCTAGAGTACTTACAACCTCGGGACCATTCGATCCTTAGTCTTAACTACCTGAGCTACAACTATACTATAATTTGTACTCATATACGTATACACAAGAGTATTTACCACATCATATATTATTGAAAAGGTATTATTTCTTGTTATATAACAAAGATGATATAACATGAGACTATACCCTCTATAAAATTAAAAGAACTATTAATTACAAGGTAGAGTGTTACGTACTGAAATTTAGTACGAAACGAAAGAAACCTTTCGAGCAGGCTTCTAGCTCCTAACCGTATTCGAGTCACGGCAAACTCCAATTTCACACTTCGAGCGTGTGAGGACTCCAAGAAGAATAGACTAGAATAGTAGAATAACAATATATTTCTCTGAGTGGTTCCCGATATTCATATACAATGGACCTATTTATACTAAATTACTAACACCTATAATAATTAGGTTACTACAATTATTCTAACTATACAAGGTAATAATATATTCTAATATACATAATTTCCTTATACTAATATTTAGTCAATTATCCTCTAATTACATATGATTCATTCCTTATAGACCCTCCACTAATTAAACCACCAATTATTTCTTTCCTTTGATGCGTATCACTCTCCACCCCTTCAAAAAACACCTTGTCCTCAAGGTTTAGAGAGGAATAGAATAAACACATCTTTGTTGAAGCGGTTCATACAACTTTGGATGGTGGCTAGTTGGCAAAACAAATGATTGAAATGGTTCTTGAGCTTGATCGTGACACATAAATGGCCTCCGCTTTTGGCTTGTACCGTTTAAAAATATGTCTTGCGCCCCAATGTTGAGTTCCAAGTCTAAGGTAGTAGTACTCACAAGTCTTGTCTCAAGATAATCCTCAAGAGACTCTAAGTTGTTGAAATCTTGAATGTTGCTTTCGTCATGAGTGGTTGGGAGAGGAACTGTTGTTATTGATGATTCCTTGGACCCTGGGCTATTTGGTTCTTCTTGAAAAGTTGAATTATAATAATTAGAAGTGAGACATTCCGAAGTGTCATCTTGGTCCGTCGGTAATTCTCCACACACATCCATCAACAACTCTAAATCAGGATATTTAATGTCTAAAACACAACACCCATCGTAAATATTTTGGCCATGAAGAGCTTGTTTAGCCATGAATGCATCCAAGATAGAATCAAACCATACCAAAGCTTGGAAGGTGTAACTCTCATCCTTCAAAATATGAATATATTGTACGGGTCCTTTCGTAGAAAAGATCTCATACAATACAAAATCATCAATGGAATACCATACTTGATGTACAGAAACCAATAAACATCGATGAGTAATATTTTCCATAATAAAAAAAATCTTTTTCTTTTCCTTTCTGTCATTTTTTTTTATTTTTTTATTTTTTTACTTTTTTCCTTTCTATTGTTTTTTTTTCTTTTTGTTTTCAATTTTTTTTTCATTTTTTTTTAAAAAATAAATAAATAAATTCTGAAGGACGCAACAAAAAAAATAAATGAATAAAACGATAGGGGATACTCTCATCAATGGAATCAATGAAAGCACCAATGTTACGTACTGAAATTTAGTACGCAACGAAAGAAACCTTTCGAGCAGGCTTCTAGCTCCTAACCGTATTCGAGTCACGGCAAAACTCCAATTTCACACTTCGAGCGTGTGAGGACTCCAAGAAGAATAGACTAGAATAGTAGAATAACATATATTTCTCTGAGTGGTTCCCAGTATTCATATACAATGGACCTATTTATACTAAATTACTAACACCTATAATAATTAAGTTACTACAATTATTCTAACTATACAAGGTAATAATATATTCTAATATACATAATTTCCTTATACTAATATTTAGTCAATTATCCTCTAATTACATATGATTCATTCCTTATAGACCCTCCACTAATTAAACCACCAATTATTTCTTTCCTTTGATGCGTATCATAGAGAATAATATATTTTACATTAAAATATTTATTGACTATAATTCATCCTCAACATGTTCAATGTAAGTATTAAACATTCCTATTCATGTAATCAACGACCTTCAGAGACAATAGAGTTCGTGATTGAAGAATAACATGAACCTATCTTGCTATCCAAGTATGAAAGTGACAAAACAAAGTCATCAAAGCCTTCACTTCGCGAAATTGTCAAACATGTTGTGGAGAGAGTAAGTAATGACAATTTTGGTAGATCTACAGAGCGTTCCAAATATCGAATAACTTGTCGAATGCTAGGTCTGAGTTCTGCATCTAGCAGAGAACACAACAACCCTAGCTTCACCAAATTTAGGATCAACCGTTTGTAATATTTCACCTCTATTCCACCATGAAAATACCCACTCCACCAAAATAAGATCATCATTTGATGCTTTTAGCTCAATAGGCCTCCTGCCACGTGCAACTTCAAGTAAGAATGCTCCAAAACCAAACATATCAGAGCTTGTCGTGGCCTTCAGTTCCCTGTTCTAGCATGTTCTGGGGCAAGGTAGTCATGAGTTCCTGCCACATGTGTAGTTTGAAGATCAGATCCATGATCATACAATCTTGCTAACCCAAAATCTCCTAATCTTCCATTACATTCATTATCTAGCAAGACGTTACTAGCCTTTATATCTCTGTGAATCATCACCTGCTCCCATTCCTCATGTATATAGAATAAAGCTAATGCCACTCCTTTGATGACTTGAAATCTTTGGCTCCAACTGAGGGTGTGCATTAGTTCGTCAACACAAATACCTGTCAAGACTTCCTTCCATCAGGCATGTACTCATAAACCAAAAGTATTTCTCTTTTATGTCTACAATAGCCACAAAGAGGAACAAAATTCCTATGACACAATCGCCCCATACTAACAACTCCAGC